ACTGGAGTGATGTACCTGCAAGCCAAGGAAGGCCAAGGATGGATGGCCAACAGAAGTAAGGGGGAGACAAGCAAGTAGTCTATCCGGAGGCCCAGAGGGAGCAGGGCTCCACTGGTACCTTGATTTTGGATTTCCAGCACCCTTCAGAACTGTGAGAAAATAAGTTCCTGTCACTTTAAGCCACCCAGTCTGTGGTGTTTTGTTAAAGCAGCACTAAGAGACTAATACAGCCTGTGAAAGAAAGGAAGAAACACAGAGGCCACATAGCTGTGCCACCTCATCAGCAAGCTCCAGGAAGAGTGCTGCCTTGTCATTTGGTCATAGGAGTTAGCTGCCTCAGGGAGGTCATGGCCTAGTGTGAAGTCACATCCTGCAGAAGCAGACCTGGCGGCACTGTCAGCTGGAGATATCTGCTGACCACAATTCCAGTGACGGGCCGTCTTCCTTTCTCATAGGAAGATCAAAATGCCATACCTCTGTCTGTACTATGGTAGCCAAGAAAAAAATGTCTGGGGAATATAGATGGCATATAGCCATTTTGACTTTTTTAAATATATAGATTTTTAAATGATTTTAAATTACGAAGATAACTATGAGCAAAATATATATGGAATAATAAGTTAGTAAGAGAAAAAAATGGAATCATAAACATAATTAATCCAGCAAATAAGGAATGCGTAAAATTAAATGCAGTAACAACTCATGTAACTAATAAATGCAATGGAAGCAAATCAGACACAAACTTACTACAACTCATGTCAAGTTTTCTGGTCCCCTATCAAACAACAACAGAGTCTTAGATAAGCAAAAACTGAAAACTAAAAATCAATTTTTAAGCTGTTCATAACAAACACAGGTAAAACAAAATATTAACCTTAAAGAAGTTGAAGATAATGACCAAGGATATGCCAGGCAAATGCAAACAAAAGGAAATTGGAAATGAGCATATTCATATCAACTACAATGAAATGCAGAATGGAAATTATTAAATGTGAAAAAAAAGATATTTTTTGAGAACAGAAAATATAATTCACAAGGACACAATCATAGACATCTCCTTCATTTACCAACCAATGTAGTTAGAATATATGATATAAAAAAGGAGAGAAACAGAAGAACATGATAAAACTATAAATAGCCATATGAGAGAGTTTAGGTATAATTTGTTAATAACATGACAGAGTAGACAAATAATGAGATAGGTTAGTGATGGTATAGGGCATTTCTTCTCTATAAACAGAGAACGTGTACTTTCCCTTATGTCTATGGAACATTCACCAAAAACAAAAATCTATGTCCATGGCATTAGAAGAAAATAAGTTTGGGGGGAGATAGGGGCTATATTACTCATTCCTTAATCCCAGTCCTATAAATCAAGAAATTGGCACTGAAAGAATAACCATGTGTAAATGCTTGAAATTAAAAAGACCTTATGGATGATTCTTAGATTAAATTGAAATGAAAACAAAAATGACATGTTATCTGGAAATTAGAGTAGTCTACATTAAAACTTACAGGGAAATAATTTATCAGGAATAATTTATAGCCTAAATGCTTTTGGATTGCATCTAAATTTTTTAAACCAACCACGACCACCCCCCAGAAGGAATTACTAACAGTAAAAGCCAAAACAATGGAAATGGCCACAAGACAAATAAAAAGGGAAAATCTGACTAATAAAAAGATATATACAATATTAAATACATAAATGGTGATAAATTTTAACATCTAAAGGAAATTGATGGTTTCGAACAAATTACAAGTTATCAAAATTTGACCCAAAGTTGTTATAAATCCCAGGAGATGAACAATTATAGAACAAATCCCAGGAAATGAATAATTATAGAACAAAAGCTGAGTACATCTAAAGAGAAAAAGCTTCCAGTTTTATGAAAAATATCAATTCTTTGATACAAATAATGATAGAGGCACAACACTATCACTCATGAATATATCCTTTTTTTAAAAAAATGAGCAAATCAAATCAAACTTTTATTCTATAAATACAAAGTTTATTCTATAAATACAAGGGTGGATTTTTGCATTATGAAATCTGTCAAATATATACATAGGTACAACAGACTAAAGCAGAACAATTATAATTATATCAACTGATGCTGAAAATACATTTTATGTAGTTCAGGAGACATTCCTAATAGAAACTAAAAGTGAACTAGGAATAGCAGAAAGAAACTGCCACATTTATAAACCCAATAATAGCACCATGATAGATGGTGACTACCGAAGAATGTTATAAAAGCCTGGCGCTGCCATTACTCAACTGCTGTGACTCAGCATTGTTTTAGAAGTTCAGTGAATTCAAGAAGAAAAGAAATTGAAATAAACCACATAAATATTGCAGGTAATGTGACTGAGAATCTACCTAAAATATTTTAGAATTCTACAAAAGATTTTGGAAAAATAACTGAGCAGAAGATACTGGATAAAACCCATTTTTCTTTATATGAATTGATAACTGATTAGAAATGCAAATAGAGGGGCTGCAGTTGTAGCTCAGTGGTAGAGCACTTGCCTAGCATGTGTGAGCCGCTGAGTTCCATCCTCAGCATCACATTAAAAATAAATAAAGCAAAGGTATAAAAAAATACAATAACATTATAAAAAAGAAATGCAAATAGAAAAAATCCCCATTTAAAAGAGTGAAAAATGAAAACATCTAAAAATTAATTTAGTAAGAAATAGGACAAATTTTTAAAAATCTAAGATAGTCGCAAAAGACTTTAAAGAAGTAGTGAGCTACACCATCTTTTTGAATGAGAAAACTTAAAATTCTAAAAAGAATAATCCTTTCCAAGTTAGCATATAAATTTTTATAAAATTATAGTCAGAATCCAGTCTTGGAGAGTGAAGGTGTTGTCAGATCAATGAATATATAAATTCCGGGGTGGGAGATACCACAGATTGACCCAGGGGCACTTAACCACCGAGCTACATGCCCAGTGCTTTTTTATGTTTTCAGACAGGGTCTTGCTAAGTTTCATAGGGCCTCACTAAATTGCGGAGGCTGGCTTTGAACTTGTGATCCTCCTGCCTCTGCTTCCCAGCTGCATAAGCATAAGCATACACCACCATACCCAGATGATGAATTATGATTTTAAAGTCTGAATAAATACATAACTACAAGGAAATTGCCAAACATGAAAGAACAATAGTATGGGAAACTTGCACCAGCAGATATCAAAACATACTGTCATGTTCCTGCTTTTAAAAGCGTGTATTAGCTCAGTAATCCACAAGTAAGTCTTTGGAACAGAGTAGAGTCCATAAATAGAGATACAGAGGAAAACTGAATGTATGCTTAAAGTTCATGTCTTTCCAATAAGGAAAAAGGTATATTATAAAATAAATGATGTTGGGGCAATTAACTTTCTATCAGGGAATGATTGCATGTGGATTAAATTTCATTTAGAGTGAAGATCTAATATTAAAAATGAAACTATAAAGATGTTAGAAGAAAATATGAGAGAATGGATGTATTACATCAGTTAGGGGGAACTCTCTGCTGTATCCTACAATGGAAGATTGGCAGATTTGGTTTTGTAAAATTTTAAAATGTCTGCATGAAAAGGTACTATAAACAAAGCCAAATGAAGAACAATAGCTTGCAACCCATGTGAGAAAAGTTAATGGTTAGGGTCTGGGGATGTAGCTCAGTGTTAGAGTGCTTGCCTAGCATGCATGAGGTCCTGAGTTAAATCCCCAGCATCACCAAAAAAAAAGAACGAAAAATTAATGATTAATGTACTAAGGAATTCTATAAATTGTTCAGAAAAAAAGATAAACAGCTCAGTATAACAATAGGCAAAGAACATGAACTAAAAATTTTAAATCACCAAAAAATCAACCCTTGTTAGTAGTGAGAAAACTTGCATTATAACAACTGAAATGCCATGATCTATCCATAAGGTTGGCAAACACTTAAAAATGGTGAACATCCAGCACTGTTAAGTATGTCAATATGCAGGCACTTGTTATGCACTGTTGGATTGATTGCTTGGATGTTTTAAGAGAAAGAAATGTAGCAATAATCATGCAAATAGTTAATGTGCTTATCATAATTGCACTCCTAAGATTCTTTCCCACAGAAATAAAAGTACTCAAACATTTAAGATGTTTGAGTAAGGCTGTTTATTCCTGCTGTTGTTATGGTAGCCAACCCTGGAAACAGTCTGAATGTTCAACCAAAAGAGAATGGTTAAATGATGATATGTGTATCTTGTGAAATATTTTGCAGTTACTTTTAAATGAGTAGATTGTAGATTTGGAAAAATCTAAAATAGATTGGTAGGAGCAAGTTGAAGAAATTGTGTGTCCATTTCTGTGTGTGTGTATAAACAAACATAGGGGACATTTTGAAAGTCTGTACAGCAAAAAGCTAACATTGGTTATTATCTAGAGGGAGAAAATATGGGACCTGGTTTATTTTTACTTTATATTTCTGTGCATTTTAAAATTTGATTACAATGAGCAAGTATCTCTTCTGTGTAAAACATAATTATAGCCAAAGAGGTTTGTTGAATTGTGGTTTAAAGTTGTGTCATCTGAGCAACTCTAACAAAAATCACAGTTGATATATCAGAGGGAAATGAAAAATTGTCCACATGTCAAATGAAGTCCCCTCTATGAAAACCCACAATAGAAATTTTCACTCCAGCCTCAATCCTCCAACACCTGTGGTTTGTTTTAGGCACTGGCTTGCTTTTATCTCTTGGACAATGGGCATCTGGGAACTGACCATGTCTTCCTTTGCTGTGGCAATTAGGGATCTGAGACAAATTGAAGACTTCCATTTCTTCAATGCCATATTGGATTACATGGCTTATGTCCTATGCATAACCCCTATTGATGGCATCATCTTGTTGCCTCTTTATTTTTCCTTCATATTCCTTCCTTCCTTCTTTTAAATTTTGTGTGTATGTATCCCTGGGAGAAAAATAGGGGTGTGAATAAATATTGACCAGTGATTTTTATTTTAACAGGAACCTGGGAAAGAAAAAAGTTGCAACATGAATAGGCCACCCATCACTACCAACTACAGATGACTTGCCATTTCATTTATAAAGGTAAGAAACTATAGTCTATATTTTTAATGAATTCTGACTATGCAGTATATTTGCATATCTTTTTAGTGTATACTTACTTATAAATAAATATTCTAATGCATGAATCTCATTCATGACCTTTAATTTTGACATTATCAAATTTAAAACAAACATTAAGCAAACAGAAGCCAGAAAATTTGTGGGTGTTGGTCTACCTGAAGGGACAAAACCCAGATGTGGTCTCTGCCATTAATTATTGAGTGTGGTTAAATTTTTAATAACATTAGCATTTTTCTTATTTTTAAATGTAGTAGCACTTACTGCAGAGTACTTGGAAAACATAGAAAAATATAAAAACAAAAACCTAAAGCATTTATAATTCTACCATCTGTAGATAATCAGTACTTCGGAGAATGTCTTTCCTCCTTCCTCTTATGTGTATATGAAAAATATATATGATTATAATGTTTTTTAAAACAATGTCTTTTATCTATACTTTCCTTGACTTCCATAATTGCAAATGAAGTATTCTAAGTGGTGTGGAAATATAACAAGATTAGGAACAAATAGTAATCACCGCTCTCACCATTTCAACAGTTCTTTGCACTTTATCAGCTCATTCCCAAGCATCCCATTTGCCTCTCCAACCCAGGTGTCTCTGGTTAATAGGTCTGTGTGAGCTTTGATAAACATCACTCTATAGAAGGATAAAATAAAACAAAACAAAAACCCTTTGAATTCAGGTGGTAGCTCAGGGCCCTCCATTATCATTATTATCTGTTTTGTGCACCTTAAAAGGAATTGATTTTTTAAGACTGAAGTTTACCCATTTCTCTCCTCCTCTCCCCTATTGTCAAGTCAGGGGCGATTTACAAAATAATAAAAAAATACTTTAAGACCATCTCATCATCCATCCTTCATTCATGCCAGTTGGTCAATTTCTCATTGAGGTGGCTTTTTCAAGCACCCTTCAGAGTCACTGTTGAAGTGCTTGCATTTTAAAAGCTGCAAAGTCTTAGATGTGCAATTACTGGAGTGGCATTCTTCAGGGAGGTCTTTATTCTCCTGGCTCTATTGAGCAGCTGAAGGTTTGTTTTTTATACTGAGCCTGATATTTTAAAGCCTTTCAGGCACTTTAATTTTCCTAGTATTTCATTCAGAACTCACTAAAATATTATCCCACGGAGACTAGAAAACTCAATTGTTCTTTAAGCAAATTAAACAGATACAGTGGAAAGCAGTCATTTGTGAAACACCTGTCCTTGAAACTCCCTATTTTAATATGGACAGATTGAATAAATAGATCAGAAAAATTAAAAGGATAGCAGGGTGGTTTGATTGCTGGGTAGTAATAAATTTGGTAAGGTGTGCTTGCTGTGGCCCATGCTTTCACATTCCTACATGGCTTTGGCCATACAAGTTATTGGCGGCCCAGGCAAACTCAATTGTTTAGTGCAGAAAATTGACTGGTGAATTATTCTGTATAGCAAATATGGCATTTATTAAAAGCCTCAGATTTGAAGAATGCTTTAGAGATTTCTAAGAAAGTCAGAAGTTTTATCTATCCCTCCTTACTGTATGAAATGCTCTTCATGCAACTTAAGACCCTCAAATATCGTGACTCTGTGCAGTTACCTTATTTATCACAGAAGTAACTGAATTTAAAAATTCAGATTAATTTGAAGTGAAAGTTTTAATAAGAAATAAGAGAAATGCATTTGAGCATCTATATTTCTCTGAGAAAAAGTGTTCTATCTAAAAGCACTGGGGGAAAAAATCAGATAACCAATAGCTAAGTGCATAAAACTATAAAGTTTCTCTATATCCTAATTATAAAACAAATTAAAAAATATGCAGCAACACAGAAAAATATTAATAATACATTTGATAATAGATTAGTAGCCTCAAAACATAGAAATAAATAAGGAAATCATTAATATTAATAACTATTACAGGTAAATATCAATATCTGAAATACTAAGACTCTAATAGATGAGCAAAACAATGGAAAATTCAAAAGAGAGAGGGAACTGGGACCAAAGACAGAGCAGGCCCAGCGGCCTGCTGAGGGGCAGAGCCGCCCCCCACCCCCCTCGCCTGCCAGGTAGGGGAAGGGTGACCACCGACAGAAAAGGCCCAGTGGCC